TGTAGAATCAAATGAATGGAAATGAAATTTTCCCATTCCAACATTCGATTTCATTTATACTAGGGAAATTAATTTTTGAGATTAGAGATAAAAAAATTCATTTCATCTCCTTAATGAAATAACAAAGAATAAAACTCCACTTTAATTATTTTGGTTCTATTCCTTCCCCTTCCTCGAACTCATCCACCAAAATATACCATATACTCATACATCATGTTTTGTCCACCACTATCTCAGCCTTTGGAATTATAAATAAACACCCCTTGAAGTTTCTCTACTTTATATTATCAATTCAAGATTTATAAACTACATCAATAAAAACTTGTAATGAATAAGAGGGGCTCACACTAGAAACCAATAAAAGACCAATCACTCATTCTATTGCATGCAGCGGTTAGGAATGTTTGGATCAAATGTTGTAGCAGCTGTATGTAATTTGTCTCCTTTTGAAACTCTCACCAAAGTAGCTTTTCTTTGCCGCTCTAATATTCCTATCATCACACACTTCACTATCACAATCTACTAAGTAACAAAAAGCTTAAGAAGTTGTACTTAACATATATTATTGGCAGACCCACCTACAAGGGCCAAGCTACCACTACATTTTGTCCCCATTTTGGTTATATACTATTGTTTTGTTGGGGATAACATTGATATAAGAACATGGGGATTGTAGTGCCACTTCTTGGTTTTTCATGTTTCAATGCAAGGGAATGATAGAAAGGTGGAATATCACTTTATGGTTTATTTATCTTTCATCTGTTTAATATGTTATTGATCACAACAAATCTTGACATTTTAATAGATAATCTCTAATCTTGTTGCAAACTTTTATTATGTTTACAGGCATACTATTTACAAGATATTTGTAACTAAATTGTACATATAAATAAATAAGTTGGTTTACAAAAATATATTAAAATCGTTACCTCGTATAATGTTATTCTTTAACCAATAGTGTTACTAAGAACAACAAAAAGATAGAGATAATCAAATATTTTAACATAGGAAAACAATAAAAAACTAATGAATGCATCATAGAAAATGTGAAGTGTTTTTAAAAATTGACAAAAAATATATTTTAAATGTTGTCTTAATAAGCACATGATTAACTATGGTTTGTCTAGATCTTTAATTTGAGAGAAACTTGTATGGCCTCAGAAATTATTAAATGGTATAAAATTTGGACGTCTTAACTAAAATATTGTTGCTTAATGGAGAGCAATGCATGTAAAATTAAAACAGAAATAAAAATCCCAATTTCTATGACTAGGGCCAATAATTACCCATTTTAAATACTGTTAACAGAAGGCCCATATCTCATAATAACTTGTTATGGAGTTTTTTATTGTACGAAAGCACAAACCCCTATTTATCATTTCACAACACCGTTTTCCAACTTCCATTACCGAGTCGAATGGTATAGCCCATGGTCCGGGCCTCTAAAGATGGGCTTCCACCACCCAAATTCCACACTATAGAAATTCACACGAATGCCATAATCATACAATTAACTTAGGAGGAAATTTTAAGCCAATCAACATACCCCTCATAAATTCCAAATCCACAAGATCATATGCTTTTGCGAGAGGTTTTTCCTTGAGCTTTATTAATTCTTGGGAGATTAAAACATTGTGAATAATAGCCCTCATTAAACAAAAGCACCATGATTCTTATCCACTAAATCAGGCAAAACCACCTTCAATATTTTCCCTAACATGTTAGTATATAGAGTATCGCAATATTTTCCACTGCCAAACCCATCCGGGCCACATTTAACCGGGTCTATATCCATCATAGCTGCTTTCACACATGCTTATCAACAGTGAATTGAGTACCGATTTCATACACTATCATCAAATTCAACACGTTATTTCAACAATTTAAATTATACAAAATTAAAAAAATGTACAGACATTATATCAAATTTACCTTAAAAACAATATGCCAAATTCAATTATATATATTTATAGTCAATCTATATTTTTATGTCATGACATACGAAAACAGTTGGCAGATACCATCGCCTTCATGCCGACCACAGAAATAGAAAACAAAAGGAATTGTCAAAAAAGTTTTCTGTGTTCCCACAACAAATTCCACATTCCTATTTCCTAGAGAACCACCTTATTCTATATTTACGAATAAGCCACAAAATCTGACAACCTATGTCAGAAAAGGACAAAAATTTAAGCAATAATTGTTTAAATTGATTGAAATTTAACATAAATCGTGTCAAGCTTGCATAGAAAAATGTGAAATCATTAATAGACATCAAAAGTTGTCCGGTATCATTCTATGAATCTGGATTTGAAATATAACTAATGAAGCATAGTTTAAATTGTCCCATCTAGGGCCACTAAAGTCGTTGCGGGAGTTTTAATAGTTTATAATCTAAGTAAAAGCATTTTAACTGAGAGAAAGAGTGGCAAACCTTGTTCATTTGTCCTCGAGTGGAAATAATATCAATACTGTATCTTCTTCTTTATGTGTTTTGATTCAGTAAACACAATTTTACTGAATCAAAATATAACCAACTATGTTTGATTCAGATCCAACCCAATACACATGAGTAATTATTGTATACGCTCCTCCAAGTTTACACATGTTTTACCTATCTCCAAATATAATTTCAACTCTAACTAATCACTGTATAATGGACAGTAAAGTAAAGAGAGAGGTGGAAAGATTGGTAGGCTATGGCATTGGCTGTGGTGGAATCAAACAGAAACTTTAATAAATAAGTCAAAAAGAATTTGTGTATAATAAATAAATAAGCCTAGAAAATTAATAATAAGCCTCCCTATTACATTTGTTTACATACTACCCATTATATACAAAACCAAAGCTAAAAACAAGTCTTAGCAACAAAGAATATATACCCTGAATAGACCACTGCGATGAGAAGGTTTGACAAAGACATATCGCATCAAAATATAAGATTCCCTTCCTCTCCAACCCTCCTTTCAATGCGTGCCTTCCTGTATTGTACTCAATGAATTCTATGAGATTATTAATTTCTCAATACAATTAAGATATCAGAGTTCAATGGTGCACACAGACTCCATCAAAAAGGTTTGAATAAACCCAAGAAAACAAAACAGTATACAAAAATTCATCATAAAAACCAAACCCTCGGGATGGGTGGGAACTGGGAACCTCAGGAGAAGGAAATATGGGTTTTATAGAATTCTTTTCCTATTTCAAATAGTATATGATTCAAATTTAAGTAAACTCTGTCTGAGTACCAAAATCACAGCCAGAATCACGAGAAGAGGGAACAGAGTCAGAAAGAAAATACTATTACTCCACAAAACTAGAAGACATAACATTTGCGGGTTGAGACATTAGTACAGAGGCTTCATCAATTTCTCAAATTTGCCAATACCAAAAATAGCCAAACTTTGGGAGTAGTACCAAGCCTCGATTAATTAAGCAAACAAGGATTATTCCTAATGAATAAATCATATTATTTTCCCTCTGAACACCAGGAGGGGCCAGTTTGCTCTAGAATGCATGTCGGTGACATGAGAGTAGTGGAAATTTCTGGAAGGATAAAACCTATATTATTATTATTATTATCTAGAACTATAAAAGGCAATTTATTGATTTCACAAGCAGATTATCTCTACGACCAGGGAAACATCATTCTTGCATATAAATTGTCAGGCCTGCTCAAGACTATGAACTCATTCTTTGCGTAATATGAAAAACTCAGAAAAGTACCCTTACAGAGAATAAGCACCTTATATACAAAAGGGAACAAGCCATTCTTCAGAAATTGATGTCTCCAAGCACTTGAGTTTTTGAGTTTCAATCAGAAACATATTTAAAACACAAAAGTACTCTAATGCTCAAATAATGTGATTTACAAACCATCATTTGGTGGCATTGATAACTTGACATCTATAATTACTTAATTAGTTAACTACTAGTAACTTACTAGCCACAAAGTACATACATTTAATATATGTGAAAAATTGCAGTGTGTTCAGGAAAAAATATATGACCATGAAAGCATAAACAATCAATAATGCAGCATAAATGGCAAGACACAGACAAAAAAAGGAACCCAGACTTTCAGTTCACATCCTTGAGCAGAAAAATAATAAGCAGTTAAAGAGTGTCCATCATAACTATACATTTCTCATACAATTAAGGACTTGACTTCATTTGAATTTAGAAAGAAAAAATGATAAGCATTACTACGGATTGGAGAATTTGCATATAATAAAGTCTCAGTGCTTTATGCATCAAAGTTTGAAATAAATCCCAAAGTAAACAGAAACAATCAAGATCATTTGGATTTGGTTCAACTCAGCTAGTAAGCAATCACCCTCAACTTGGGTTTTCTACTTTTGAAAGCTAATTACACTAACAGAGTTAAATTACACTGCTAAATACCCTTTACAACTCACATGTAATGTTTCACAAACTTAAGTCTTCTGTTCTAAAAACAAATTTAAACAATCTGAAAGTATCACGAACTAGATTAAGCAAAAGCGACCCATTAAAAACTTGAGGCCGTAGTAGAATGCTGTCTAATTTGACCCAGGGTCGAATTGCATCACCATAAAACCTCCAAATATATCTTTATTTAAATAGAATTTTTTTTAGGGGAACTTCATCAATAATAAATATTAATTTCATGGCAATCCATGAACATTTCTAGTTTGAATACAGTTTTTAGTTCAAATTCAAATCCATGAAATAAAAAGCAAGTATAACAAAACGAAATCTAAATAAGGAAAGCCTGTTATAAAGTTAACCAAAAATGTTTTATTATTATTTTGTAACGCTTTTGTTCTGTTTTGTTGCTAGATTCAGATACTATTATGCAGTATAGGATCTATAACCATTAATTGCGGTTTCCACATATAGCCAATAAACTGCTAAATCTTAAAAAAAAAATATTAATTCGGATCTAATTAACAGCAATAAAAAAAGGTTTAAATATTTACTGGTTGTAGAAAGTCGGAGAAAATATATGTCGCCGGAAAAACCACAGCGGCCTCCGATTCAGTTGATGCAAGGCGGGATCCAATTCGCCGCCAGCAAGCACCGCACCCTTCAATATGCGCCGAAGGAGCAGCGGTTCCCGACCTGCACCAAGCGAATTAGAGACCGCGCGATGAGAATATCAACAACACACTCTCTCTCTCTCTCTCTCTCTATCTTCCATGTCGAAGGAAGAGAGAGAATGGGGGAACTGAAGTAAACTAAACTCGGCTCAAACCTCACGCTATGTTGTGAACGGTGTGAGGATCGGGTGTGAGGGGTTATTTATAGCAATGACAGACGAACGTGATTTGGACACGTGGCGGTTACGATTCATATGATCCGGTTTACAAGTGATTTTGAAGATTAAGAACACGGCGAGAAAAGCTACTTGGAATTGGTCATTGATTTAGAAGAAATTACGAGGGGATGCCATTGGTTGAAGTACGTGGATGCACGTGCGCCTGTTCTGCCACTTCCTGCGGGATTTCACTGCGGGGAAATTATGCCACTTAACGAGCCCTAATAACTAAGTTAAAACAATGGAGAGTCAGATGCATGTTTTTATTTGGTTTTTAATAGTAAAAAGTGTAATTTTATTATAATTAAATGAATATATATGTCATTGAATGTTACATTTTTCTTTAATTTTTGAAATATTTGTATCTTCGTTAATGAAGAGGATCATAACTCAATAATGATATGATCCTGGTTTGTGATGTGGAAACCTTAATAATGTTTCAAACTCTTTCACATAATTTTTGGCTTATTCTTTTTGTTAATAAATTTTTATATTGTTAATATGTAAGTATTTACATGTTATGCCACTGAGCCATCTCTTATGGCATTTTTCTATGCTAAGCAATTCTAATTCAATCAGTGAATTGAATAACTGTCAATTTTAACTATAATCTCAATTCAAAGGTTGGATGTCAGTTACAAATTCCCAGTTTCAATCAGTATTCCCAAAGGATTCTAATTTTTCCAAAACATACTCTGAATGTAGGTAATGCATGTAACCAAATATTTTGGCCTATTTCCATGTTAGGCATTTGCTGTGACATTGCAGTCAAGGATTGAGACACTGCTGACTTTTCCTTTGAAGATCCACCCCATAATAATGAGGCCATAATTTGAACCTTTCTGTTCCAAGTTCAAGCAAGAGAGTTAGGAATTCCATGGCAGGTGAAATTTACTAGCAATAAGGGATTATTGCCTTTTCTAGGCCACACGGGATAATATCACTGCAGAGTGTTAATGCTACATGATGCTCCATGCCTCATTTTGTTAGTTAAAAATTAGAGTAAAGTACATTGAGATTTAGCTTAAATGCACTAAGACCCATCATATCTAAAACATTACAGTCACTTTCTTACATGTAAAAGTAATGTATTTATATAAATTAGAGATAATTTATGTAAGTATAAAAAGGAGAACAAGGATCACCTATCCCTAACCCTATCCCAAACTCTGTTCCAAGCCAATCATATTTTAGCAAGTAAGATAAATATGTTATTTTTTATTTTCTTTTTTGTATATGACAATTTCTAGTTGGCTTGGGACATGCTTGAGAACAGGAGATCTTCATTTTGAAATGTAATTTGATACAAAGATGGAGACTTACATGTATATGTATGTCATAATCCGCACATCTAAGAGAAGGAAAAGTGATTTCCCTTTCTAATGAGATAAAAAAATGTACATACTAGCATTGTAATAGTTTATACATTTTTAGTCTATCATCTATCATTTATTTTTATGTTCGTTGACTCTTAAAAAAGTAATAAAAATAAATAATAGATGATATTAGTTGAAATGATGGTAAAACTAGTGGTTGCTAATATACATACATAGACAGTGGCATATATATATACTATAAATAGAATATATGCTAAAAGTAGAGTAGGTTAAACATTACCGAAAGACTTTCATGCTATTTATTGTAAGAGCATAAGTACCCCAAATATTATATTACCAATGACCAAATTCTTTTGTCTTCTCCTTTCATGGATGTGTGTTGTGTGTCCCAACACAGAGCACATGCTTCAATTGGGTCACATGCATATACTTGAGGAAAATCTAACACTAATAATTCGATATACACTCACATTATTTTATGTCTACAATTTTTTATAATCTAATTATAACTAGTTTTTTAATCTGGCAATTCTGACATCACCTAATGTCATTGATATCAGAGAAATTAAAGGAAAAGATGAGAGATATTTGTTATGTGAGCACCACCAACTTCTTAATTCAATATTGGAAAGATGGTGACAGAAGTGGCATAGTGGAGTGAATAAAATCAATAAATTAAATGTTTACAACATTAGGTAAACCTTATGCCACCACAGTGTAATGCTGCTTTATTTTCAGGCCTACCATAAAGAGCCTCTTAAAGGTTCAATTACTACATTTTCTCATGAGAAAAGATTTCTACACATAAACCTATTAGGTGGTAGCCCCAAATCATCAAAACAAAGAAAATGTATATTTATAAAAGCATTTCTTTTCCCACATGTATTACCAAATTAAATAATCCCAGTGAAACATTGATAAAATATAAATAAATTATCAAAGACTCTTTCTGAAGTCTGAAAAGTGGACAAAACTGATAAAACAAAATATATCAGCACACTCCCCATATTGTACAAGCTATATATACAAAACTTACACCAGAACATAGACTCATAATACAGATTCTTATGACTCACATGATTATATAACATAATGGAAAAGAAAAGTAATGTCAAGCTAAGGGGAAAAAACCAAACCGGGTCATGGTTCGGTCCATATGGCGCAACAGTAGCGGAGCCAGAATACGTGCTACCCTTGGGAAGGAAGGGTAGGTTAGAGTGCCAAGGATAAAACAATTGAAGCTTAATAGAGCAACTGCATCAGAAGCAGGTTTGTTCTTAATGGTGAAGAAAAACTGCACTACACTCTTCAAGGACATGCCTACAACTGCAAAGAGAGCTACAACAAGAGGCATGCAAGGGTCTTCAGCTTCCCATATAGTCACTCCAACTATAAGTGACATAATAGCACTGAACAGTGATTGTGAAAGTGCGATGTCTCGACGTTGATCAAGTACTTCACTCATTTCTACTACATCTTTTGAGACTAATTCAGGTTTAGTTGGGGGAACACAACCAGATTTTGGTTCTGTTTTCAAGAGTTTAAGCAACTCAGTTCTGGTCTTGTTATCATCTTCCCAAGCATCTTTGTGAATCAGAAGATCTTGGAGGGAGATTCCACTCCCATGATAATTCGATTTATATTGCAGGACAGAATGGTTATAACTGCTGTCATCAATATTTTGGCTATTGTCAGTGCTATTTTGATCTTTGGAGCTCCAGTACGCCCTTCCTTGAATTTCCTTTAGCCGAAGGTTTTCGCTTATCTGCTCCCGCAACTGTAAATAACACATAAGTAACAAAGCACTAAATCTGGAAGAGTTTTATGTACATGGAAATAATTACACTGAAGTCCCACTTGATAAAGTAAGCAGAGGATTAGGCAAAACAATGCTACTCAATATCTATTTTAGATAACCTTAAGTCATATCTTGAATCCATCGCATTTTCAGGACAAACTTTCAATCCAATGAAACTGATGCTAACTTCACACCAGATAAATATGGGTGACATTTTATTGTAAAAAAAATACCCTTTTTGCAAATCTTGGATTTCTCCTTATTAACTTGAGTCCAATACTCAAGAATACAGGTTTTTATTTGACAAAAACAATAGCTCTGATTTTAAAGTCTGACTGCTGCAGATATTAACATATTGCTTGGTATTTAAGGGCATTTTGGCAACCTATAGTGTCAACCAGAAGCCAAGTCTATACACTCAGGCACACTTGACCCAAGATGAAGAGACTAAGATGACATGGTGCATAATTTGTCTATAAGTTAGATGTGATTTTTATTTGTGAAAAAAATCTAAAACAGGTTATGGTCTTAACTCTTAAGCACTCCATTTTATTAAGAATTTATCAAGTAGTCCTTCTCCCGGCAGAGAGATATCATATTCATAACCTCAACACTGAAAGACTTTCCACATGCAATATGAAGCAAGTGATAAACTCCAAACTTCAGGTCATCTTAATAAATAGATATAGATATGTAAGTAGGTAGCACAAGGAAGGTACGTGCATACAAACTATTTTTTTTACCTTTTTCTCTAATTTTTCGATTTCTGCAATGGCCATATCATGCTCCTCTTCAAGCTCTGCTAACAGCATCTCCATCATTTTGCGTTCTTTAATAGCCATTTGGAAACGTTCTTGAAGTTTCTTCTGATCCCATATTAAACTCTCTAGCCTATTCTGCATTTGATGCAGTTTTTCTTCCAGCTGCAAAACAACATAACTATTATTGGATGAATAAGTATTAAGATAAACAGCACCCGTACTTATGGAGAAGGATAAAAGGGGGAGGCCACAACAACAACAATCAAGCCTTTATCCCTGTAGCTGGAGTTGGCTAATGGATCGAACGTCGCCATAATTCTTTATCATAAATCAAAAGGGGAAGGCCTATTGCATGTACTTTAGCCTATTGTATGCATCAATGAGAAAGTTGGTGTCAATGCTTTGTCAATGAATATGATTTATAATAGAACAAATGGTGTCGTTCGATCCATGTAGCCTAGCCCGTCTATCTGGTGGGATAAAGGGTTGGTTGTTATTGTACATGTACTTTAGCCTATCAGTCATATGGTTACCTATCACTTAAAACAAATAAAACTAGAGAATGGAAACTAACCTGCCTCTCCCTTAGAAAGGCGTTTACAAATCTCGCAGGTAGGGAGATAAGCCCCAATGTCCATGTTATAGTTCCAAATATTATGTTTAAATTGAGGCTAATTATAGACCTGATCAACTCAGCCCAAGTATAAACCACAATTATCACAGTTCTGATCCCAAACAAGCATGCAAGTCTAAGTAGAGAGAAAGGCATTGTCGTGAAGAGTATTATATTAGCCAATAACTCATACATTAATGACATTGATAGCAGAAATGATTGCTCTCCCTCCTTAAATGTTACATGTTTAAAGGTTCCATACTGTTGTGCTGATTCAAGTGATCACTGCAATATCAATAAATTCATATGAAAAATAGTTGAAGACT